ACTTTCAAAACGAACATTGAGATCATAATACTGACATCCTGTTTTCGGATGTACATTTTAGATTCGCTCATAACAGAGAAGAGCGCAAGGGTGAAACCTCTAAATGGCGAGACAGCGGGAAGTCTGTCGAGCATACTTCAGAATATCTTTTGTTTTTCACTGGCTAAGTTCGGCGGGAGCAAGATAAGGAGAAAAACACGATTTAGTCATTTTCAACACAGATGTTCTAATGAACGTTATGAATCGTTTGCAAGCATGGAATAAAGCCGAACAGCTCTTATTGACTCATTTTGGATGCTTTTATACCTAACCGAAAATTTAAAGAAGCACGTCATATAAAAAAACGTGTTGAATCTTTTTCTGATACGAGTTTTACAAGTGATCTATTATGAGCAAGCTACACGATAGTGTCGATGATTTGTTTTTGTTCTGTACGTAATCGACGAAGTCTTTTGAAAATCTTAGAAAGTTGAAACAGCTTTGTAAAATCTTTAAGAACGACAGACCTTTTTTGGAAACTCAAGAGTATGGTAGATATTAATCCGTGGGACGGGGGTATAATAAAGTTTTTCTGAGTATTATTGCATTGAGGCCTGGTTGTCTGCCGTTCTAGACGCGAAAATTTGCAAGTTGCTGTTAGAGGATAAAGGTCGAGAAAGAGTTCGAGGAAAAAACGAAAATTTTTTTACTTGTCCTCGAGTAGGTTCTACTAAAAAACTTGTAAATTACATCTACATTGTTCGTAGACGTAGTGCCATAATCGAATAAATTCAACGGGTAGCCGTCAATTTACGATAGTGTGCTGTTCAGTGCGCATACGCGCGAAGGTTACGAAAGATTTTTAGAGTTAAAGCTTGCTTCAAATGTTTGCACTCACAGTGTCATATTGAAAATTCCCTTCACGGCGATTTTCCTAACCCTCCCCCCCCCCCCACCCTCCGCAAATCCTTTTTCAATTAGAATGGGTTAAAATTACCTAAATGTGGGTCGAGATAGAAGCACGCCTTGACACGAACTTTCCAGCATTTTCGCAGCAGCGCTTTGTAGGTGCCCGGACAAGGTCGCTCCGGTACCGGTCAGCGCCCGAGCATTAGGCTGATGGTGAACACCGGTGCGGAATAGGTTGCCCTCTTTTTCGCAAAACAGGCAGTACGGTCTACGATGAATATGTCGTGCAAGTTCGAGACTGGTGAAGGACAAAATGGTGGTTAACTCACTTCTGAAAGAATTCTTTTTGCAATAATAATGATTTACTAATGTAAGACCTTACTGATGAATTTTTATGTCGAACAAATTTGAAAATCAATTGCTATTATCAGTAACAGCTCAGAAAGTGTTCGCCTACGTTGATTCAACTGTTAAGTGTTAGCGACTATGCAAATTCGCTGTATTCAATGTGAGTCAAACAAACACGTGCAGAATAACTATCAACCCTATTTGAGAGTGTTCAGACATTACAATGTAAACATAGCAATCCTTACGTATATTACCGTAATTAGCAACTGTGATGGGTAAATTAAGTTTGATTCACGAATTATTCTTGAGTCTTGAGTCTGTCTTCAAAAAAAAACTTTTCTTGTTTATCTCATACCAGCAACAATGACTTAACCTGCACAAGGAATAATGGTACGAAGTCCTCGTTAGGAGAGAAGGGCAAATAGAACTGATTAGAGTCGCGTAACTTGTCCTAGCTTCAACAAAATCTTAATGCTAAGTTTTTTTTTTGAGATCTCAAAATTTGCTGCTTACTAGACACAGGGAATGTTTTCTAACGAAACTCTAGGGCCTGTAATAAACGCGCGTCACAACAGTTTTGAGGCGGGTGTAAGCCTACGGCGCTTCAGCGGAGCGTCAGTATTGCCGTCGATCTCAGTGCGGACCGCTTTGTGAACTTGGGATACCCTCACGTTTTCATGCATAGAACAGCTTCATTATTTCTGTATTCTGTTTCTGTATTCTGTTTAGGTATGGGTAAACGGCACTAGCCACTTGCATATCACATCGCAGGTGACCGCCTAGGTGCATCACTTTTGCTTCATCGCAAGGTGAACTCATTAGCCTCTACTATCGAAAAATCGAAAGACCGCTATCAAAGATTTTGCTAAGCAGAGAGCTTGAACGAATTTGCAATCTTCTAAAAATTTCCATAAAAATCACAAATGTTGACAGTTAAATGAAAAGTTAAATTTTTATTCTGAGACGTTTCCTTGGAAATCAAACTACTATTTGTCCTCCGTGGTACGCGAGTTTACGTAGTTTACTCACGAGCATCTTACGAGATTTTTTGATCATTTGCTTATGCACACTGTCTTCTTCAACTCAGTTTACGACCTACGTTCAATTTAAGGGCAAAAAACTGAAGTGACCGCGTCACTTAACCGGCCAGTCATCTGACATTCAAACTTGTTTCCTTTTGCAGGGAGTGCGAGCGTTAATAAGTTTAACTTAAGAAGTTCTTTCGAGATGGTAAGCTCAGTCCAACTATGCTGACGGGGATTCTTCTGCGGCCTAATTATGATTGTCGGCGCATGCGCATAATTTCGCCATCAACGAGGTCTCATCAAATTCCCTTAGAGATGGTAAAAAGTAGAGGCACAATGTGTTTATCATCATGAAGTGATCTGCGGTAGGTGTTTTCACTTTTTCTTTTCGAACAGACGATTTATATGGTTTCGAGTGATGTAATTACCGACCGACATCTCACTATGCGCACGTGACATCCATTAATTTAACAATTGGAAAGACTGAATATCGTTTTAGGAGTGAAAAGTAAAGCGGACTTCTATTAAGCCCCCTTAACCCAACAATTTTTTCTCACCAAGCCTCCCCCCTCTCCACACAAACTTTTCAAAAGCCGTCGTAATTTCTCACAAAAATGTGTATGAATGCAATATGCCTTCCAACCCACCACCTTCACCCGCTCCCTCTTTGTCTTTTCTTCTTCAACACTATGGAGCAAAAAGGAATGCGAGCTCAAATACGCTCGCGATAGTCATGGGGAATCCAGAATTGTGCCCGAAGTAGATAATTGGCTTTACTCGCAATATATGATGCCAAATCTGTTGCGTACATGCTAATGGGGAGTCGAAACAACGTATGGAAGTTTGTAAAAAACCTTAAGGTCTGAAAGCGTGGCGAAGTTTCCAAATTAGCGCAATACTTATTAATCTCCTATATGGGGTGGAGTTCCTGTACAGGTCACAGCCCGTATAGGTGCGGCCACTGGCGCTCGCAATACACGAAGTCAAGCTGATGATCGGGCTCCTGCCTGTTTGAAAATATGGTCAGATTTGGCAAGTTTGGTCATGTTGGGCACGGTAGGTGCCGGTCGCACCCGATCTCGACTTTTTTGTACATTGTCTTTTTCTTTCTTTTTATCCTTGTCACTTAGCAAGAATGAATCATTAACAAATTATAGACCATATCAAGTGTTCCATAAATAGCAATTTTTCGAACAGAAATTCGAACTTTGATCGATCATCTCAAATCTATCGGATTACATTTATCAGTTATCTGATGGTCCAACAGTGCAATAATATACAAGTAACAAGCATGTGACTGACTGCAAAATCCAAAAAGCTGCGCGTGCATTTGAATTTGAGAAAACAAGTTGTCAACCGGCAGCATAAGACGTTCAAACCAGTTTGACACCTCATGGAAAAGGAAATATGTCAACTACGAAGGAAGTAACGTGCCAGCTTTCTTCTCAACAATACATTAGGTGGAGCACTTTTCATCGATGTTTCTTGTCAAACGTAGATTGAGATTTCGCGTGAACTTTGTGAGCACTTCAACCAACAGAATGATGATGAGAAAGTAGTTGCTCAATTCAAATCAACGGCTTTCAGGTAATAAATTACTCTCATGGTTGGCTTTTTATAAAATAGGAGAAGATATGTGCTTTGCGAGTAACCTGCTTTAGTAACCTTTCCTTTTTTGCCTGCTCTGAAACAAGCTCTCAAAGCGGAATCTCAAATTTCGTTATTTTGAGTTTGGTTTCAAAAAATATTAGTGTGCAGCTAGCTGTCTCAAAAATCTATAAATTACATGGCAGTAGCCTATAAGTTGCTGTGGCATGATTTAATTTTGCAACATAATGCAAAAACAAATAAGCTTGTGAAATGTTAGTTCCCCAAAAAACCCCCTTATTCTGCACTTATTTTAAGCACAATCTTTCACCCCAAAAAACAATGTCTCAATAAACTTTAGGAAAGATTCGGTCTTGAGCTGCGCTGTTGTGAAGAAAATGCGATGATAAGGGAAGTTTTCCTAGAAAATGACGTTTCTCACGGATTTATTTATGTTGAGACCTGCCATAGCAATGTATGCATTACCGCTGTGTAAAAAAATCTTTACAGATTTTTTGGGATAGCTAGGAGAGTCTAATATTTTTCGGGAATACTCAAAAACACTCACTCAAAAACATTAAATCTGCGCCGTCTTTGGAATCTTGGTACTTCGAGATTAGACAACGACAAGTTACCTATAGATAACGTTCATAGAGCTCTACTTCTACTTATTGAAGACGCAGACATGATTTAGGTTTGAGACTCAAAAAGCTGTTAGCACTTTGGTTCGCGCCAACCAAAAATGTATTAAGAGAATCATTGTTGCGAAAAGAAATAATAGAACATAATCTGGCTTTACAATTTTTTTGAAAGGAAAAATGATCTGAAATGCGGAGTGAGGTGGAGGGGTGCATGAATGAAAGGCGAGGTTATACCGGCCGAGTAAATGCGACACAGTAAACATATGCTAGGCTCTCACTGCTTGCTCATTACAACGTTTTGATCAGTACTTGGAGATGTTGTTGTCAAATGTAAGCTGCAAACTTTTACTGTTGTCGTTGTCGTTGTTGCAGACGTTGCATGCATGGGTCTCATAAATATTCTGAATATCGCACTTCTATAATCTTTGATGGCAAGCATAATAGCCAATGGATCGATCACCGTGGTGGAAAACGTTGTAATCAGAGGAAGATACTTAAATGCGCTAAAACCCTAACATTGTTCGATGATTCGACAGAAGATGATAACCCCGGTATCGAGAGTTCCATAAGCACGGAAAAAATCATTATGAAGCGAGGTATGAATGCCAGCACACAAGGAAGCAGTGCCTGAAGAAGATGGAAGCTTAACTCTCAGAATACACTTTATTCAAGTTTCCTAACACTATTGCTAATTTTCTCGCTCACCTGGATTGTCAAAGCTATGAGCATTTGCCTTTGAAGAGTGATTGTTTTCTTGCTTGAGGCACTTTGCTTCAGAGTTCTTGAGGTTCGCACTCCAAGATAAATCATAGTAATGATTGTCGTAATTGTCATCAGCATAACCAGGGCTATACCCGTTGTTGGCTTCCAGTATATAATTAGTGAATTATCTATGATCTCCTAAAAGCATCGAAGAAGCTATTTATTACATAGAGGGAAGAAATGTTTCACATTAGAAAAACACACTCACATATGCCAGAAAACATATATGCGGTAACTCATGCAGATCTCGATCAAAGGTATCTCGAACTGCTTTTTCAGCATACTCGTAGCACTCTTTGGTAGGCTCCAAACAATATAAGGAGATGAAAAAGTAGACGAGACCCCAAATGAGATTGAAAGCCGCCCAAATAGCAAGCTTAGATCTTTCGAAGTACTTTTTTTTCTCCGGCCTAGAAGTTAAAGGCTACTGCCGAATGAAGGCGCAAAAGTATTATTGGTTGAGTGGGAGCAAACGCGGCGTGCGCGCATCTTTGTCATTGTGAATCTTGCGCCTTATGCGCTCTGCGCCTATCAAAACCGCGTTGAGGTTGCGCCTTCGTCCATGTAGCCCTTATGTATGTGATAAAACTGATCAGGGCTGCAGTCTTGAAGACTGCAGCTTGGGTCATTATGCATATCAACTCACTTGCATACAGCGATATAACGATAAAGAAAATGCAAAGCTAAGAGTGCGCTTTCGATCCCTTGCATAGAGAAGAAAAGAGCCATAAATAAAGGGTCCAACGCTGGTACAAGTGTTACGAGTCCGTTGTTGAAAGACAACATTGAGTGTCCATAAATAAAATTGACCTGTTAAAAATATTTTCCTATCAGTACTTGGCTCATTTAATGAAGTAAAAAGTGTTTTGTATAAGCTATAAACTAACGAGCTTAAAATCGTACCGGCTTAGCGATATATTCCACAGAAGAATATAGAATGTTGCATAGTGCGAAAGCGACCAAAAAGTACCTATATGCGCCAATGTTCTTCCTTTCTTTCTTGCAGGAAATATAGATGAAAAGAGAATTTATAATCAATGAAAGCGCAGCCGATGTCGTAGAAATAGAAAACAAGACATTCCTATCCATCACTGCCAAAATATCTGAATGAGAATTTGAGATGAACAAATGGAAGGGGAGGGAAGGAGTGAGAAAGAACTTATTAAGGATGTTGCCGTTCACCAATGAAACTACACGTATATATGAAAATGTCTTGACTATCAACGCCCTAGGTTAGGTTTTAAGTAGAGGAACTCAGGTTTAGTAAAAGTGAGCAGCAACTTTTCTCTTTAATTTTTCCAATTCTTAGCTCAGCAAATCTCAAACATCGTTCCGGAAAGTTGTTCTCACTTTTTTCCACCAAAAAAGTACGTCCTTTTCAAGTTACTCGGGGTTCAGCTAACCAAGTCACACTTGAAACTGTTGTAGAGATTGAAATTCAGTTATTGCAACATCGCTTGCGCTATCCCTCAAAAGAAGAGATCTATGTCTATGAATTGCAGAGCTGGTGAGAGCACAAACCTCTTTGAAGCGACATTGTAGACAAAATCTTCCTTATGATATCCGGAGAGGAAATCACACTAATGAACAACAACAGTTATTATATGATGGAATCAAATTAATGTCTGTTGTCAGCTATGTTTTGTCACAACTATATCTCGCAAAAATTTGAGTCCTTGGGCACACCAATCATCATATACCTATCCACTTCCTCCACTACCCCTCTTCAAAACAAAACGTGGAATTACTGATCTATCATATGACGAAGCGGGTGTAGTGGATGAAATGAATAGGCGCGAGTGTCCTACAATTCCAGCTGTCATTATATTCAAGAAAAAGGGAAGCACATCATTAGAACAAATCGTTGCTGTCGAGCAAGGCAAAAAATTTGCAAGTGATTTTTCTGTTTTGATATAGCCTTTTTAATCTCCTATCAACTGGATTAGCCGTTTTGCCGGATTGATCACAACTCCTGCAAAAAGCATCGACTAGCATCTTTTTTCTCAGCTTTGTGCGGAAAAAGTAAGAGTTGGCTCTTTTGTGGCAAATTCATGAAAGAGTATGCGGAAAATAATGAGGTAATATTCATTATAGATTGCAGGAGCAAGTTTTCAAATTTGTTTTCTTGTCAATCTTCAAAATGCTGCTCGTTTCACACGAGCATGCGTGGAGGGCTTTGGTAATGTATCTGCTGCATAGTAAGCGTTCTGAGATGTACCATTGCCAGTGATGCGTAATACAGGCATGTTTTTGACAATGCTACCTTGTGTGCTTTGCTACCTTGTTTTCTGGTATGGGGGACTGAGGAGGTAAGCGATGAGGATATGAAAGAAAATATTAGGTTGTCCGAAAATCAATGCAGCTTTTGAATTCCAACCGCAATAAATCATACACTCCTCATTTCTAAGCAGGTTGCAAAGCACATTCGATAGAGCAAAGCAAGCTCTACAAGACGGCAATCTTGCTTTAGCAATAGCTCTGATCCACAACGAGTTTTGAGCCAAAAACTAAAAAGATTCAATTGCTAGAAAAATTGAGAAAAGTCATAACTCAGTTCATAGAAATCATACAAAAATTCTAACTTGCTCACGTAAACACAATCCACATAGGGCATGTATACAGCGTTGCCGTATATTTTTCCTTGTTAAAAATCAAGAAAATGGAAATTTTCGTGCATTTGCCAAAGTGGTGCTGTGCTGTTCCCACATGATTAGCTTATACTACAAATCTGTAGAAGTACAAACGTAAATTTCCAGCTCTCTACAAGCTTTAATCCTCAAGAAATTTGATTTTTGCTCCGACCACATGATTAGGAAAAACTGTATTCGATATTTCTCGAGAAGTAAAGCTTGTAGAGAGGCTGGAAATTTCCGTTTGTACTTCTACAGGTCTGTTGTATACGACTACTTATGTGGGAACGGCACAGCACCACTTTGGAAAATGCACGAAAATTTCCGTTTTCTTGATTTTTAACAAGGAAAAATATACGGCAACGCTGTATATACATGCCCTATGTGGATTGTGTTTACGTGAGCAAGTTAGAATTTTTGTATGATTTTTATGAACTGAGTTACGACTTTTCTCAATTTTTCTAGCAATTGAATCATTTTAGTTTTTGGCTCAAAACTCGTTGTGGATCAGAGCTATTGCTAAAACAAGATTGCCATCTTGTAGAGCTTGCTTTGCTCTATCGAATGGTGCTTTGCAACCTGCTTAGAAATGAAGAGTGTATGATTTATTGCGGTTGGAATTCAAAACCTGCATTAATTTCCGGACAACCAAATACTCCTTTCTCAGTGATGTTGAGATAAAAGTCATTTTTAGACACTGCTGCAAAGACAACGATATTCACTCCTAATTCTCGCAAATGGATAGGCTTGGTGTTTTCTGAAAGATAGGAAATTTCAAACTGCAGGAAAATCTTTTAGCTGAAGTCGCATTTGCTCCATAATATGATGACCGCACAGAAGTATGCAAAGGGTGGATCTGAAATAATTTGTGAAGCGCCTATATGTCTTCAAGCACAGTCGAAAATACGTTGCAAAGTTTGTAATCCGTTTTCGAAACTTTTCGAGCGCAGAGTAAAGGAATAAGTTGCCGCGCAATTTTCTTCATATTCACCAGTTTTCAATTTTGCAGCTCAATTTTTCGATTTTTGTTCATTCATGCTTATCAAATAGTGATACTCCTCACTTATTTAGCTGAGTTGCTGAATTTTCAGAGAGTAAGAGCATGTATTCACCTCAAGAGTGGCTAACATCTGAGAAACAAGCTCGATTGAAGCAATGCAAAACTAAAAAATGCAAAAAGATTCGAACCCAAACCTGCATCATCTTGATGGGTTCGCACTAACAGCTATACCACGGCGTACTGGCTGATTATCGTTTCAATAGCATTTCATTGGGAAAATTGAAAATTTTTTAACTTTAGTGCAATCTTGACCTTGGAAAGTCGGACGGGGACAATATTTACATGAATCGATAGCCTGAACCTTGTAGATTCCATAGGACTCTTTTGAGCCTTTACGTCTTCTTAGCTCTGAGTAATACTTGGTGAAAGCACAGCGATCAAAAGCGAAAAATGGGAAAAACGAGATTTTGGTTGGCTTCTTATTTCACAGTTTGGAGGTCTTCTGAAGCGGGAGTCCTGAGGTGGACAAAGAAGGAGTAGTGCTTTGTCTTGAGTGCAAAAACGGAAAGCTAATTCACCTTTGAAACAAAGTTAACATGTTGGAATTTGACCATTTCACCTAGGTAGCTTAGTATCTTGAATCTTCGGAATTCGCACACACTTTGTCTACAGGGGTTATTTGACATGCTAATTATGGATATGTTGCCCATTATGTTTGGCAGGGCCTTCAAGTACTGCTATCTTAAGTGTGTAGTTCAGGGGGGGGGGTCTTATTAAGACAGCAATCAGGGGGGGGGGTCGTAACCAGCGATCGTGTGCCACATCCCTTGCTTGACCCTGCTGATCACATACATTGACATATGCAAAAAATACAGTACCAACCCTAATTATCTGAAAACGCAGAAACGGACGATCCACCTTTTTTCATTCTTTTTTCATTTTTTTTCTTCATGACTTCATTCAGATTGCATAATATATGAATCTGAAGAAAGCGTAATGTCAGCTCGTCAAGGCAAATCTTTTGATATACTACACTATCTTGCCTTTCGCCAGTCTGTCCGATTTTTTGTGACGGGGAGGGGCAGTGGCGTAACGCAGCAAAATACACGTGAAAGACTTTAGTAAACACAATTCGGTAGATCTGTTCCCGCTATCAGCGCTAACAAGTAATCAGAAACTCCTTTCGGAGAAGATAGGCGGGTGAATTTTGAAAACATCCATGTCTCTTAAATTTACTTCCCATAGCTCTGCAGTAAGATGATTTGCAGAGCGGGGTGTGTTTTTCGTAATCAGCAAGCTAGATAACCACTATACGCAAGTTTTGGAGGGAATCTGGACCCTTTGATTGGTTTCTGGTTTCAGGCTTTGAAGCTCACAAACAGGTTTTGGCTAAGATATTGATGATCTTGGATTGACCAGAAACTTCGCCTATAGAGGTTCTCGAACTCGCTGGTTG